TGCTTGTTTGGGTACATGTTCTATCTAAGAGATGTCTCAAGAGATTGGAGTCTGGCTCAAAGTGCCATTGGCTTGAAATGTGTTTATTTTTCTTGATTTGGTGGATGATCTATTTGGAGGAGGGAAATAGGAGCAGAGATATGGCATGGAAGGTCTTGGAGTGAAACAGTGAGGTCGGGACCAAGCCGGTGGCTAGGGGTTGGAGAGGGAACAAGCAACAGAGTTACTCTCACTGACTCTGGTTTGGGGAGATAATACCAGTTCTTGGATCAGGGTTATTCCGTGTTCCCAGCTTAGTACCGCCTTGAGCGTTGCAAGGGCAGAGTCTGCCCTTCTGTAGCTCCAGCAGCCCTTTGTGAGATTTAAAGTTCATATTGCAAAGACTGAGAAATTACGTTCCTCTGTGCAGGGCCAGTGACTAGTGCCTGAGGGGTCTTGGCCACATCCAAGACAGAGGCAGAAAGAAGAAAGAGAAAGATGAGGAGGGGCGAGAAAGTAGTGAAGGAATAGAAACTAAGAAAGGGAAAGAGAGGTACAAGGAGAGGGAAGAAAGAGATGTATGCCGTGGGACACAGCTGAGAAGAACAATAACCCCCCCAGCAACCTCCTTACAACAGAGAAGGAGGCCAAAGGGACAGGTAGTGCAGACACTTTTGCCTGAGCTTCTGGTGGTTTTAAAATTCATTGCAATTGTTGGTTCTCCCTGCCTAAGTCACCTTCACCCCTTCACTTTTCTCTGAATCATTACAGCCACCCCCAGAAAGTTTCTCTCTCAGCTCTGCAGACCAAGAACCCAAAGAAAGACTAGCTAATGGACAGCTCTTTCCAGATTCCCATATGAATATCAAGATTCAACATTATGTTGAGCAAGTAATGCTCAATGACTACTTTTCAGCCCCCTTGGCACTTCCAGGCAGGTCTGGCTCTGCACGTGAAGCAGGTTATTTTCTGGTGTGGATATTAACAATCGCTTTTACATATTGGGCATTTACTGTGTGCCAATCACCTTGTTAACCACTCTCCGTGGAATTTAATCTTCACCTCAATTCCATGGGAGAAGTTACTGTTATTAGCCCCATTTTGCAGAGGGGAAAGCTGAAGCTCAGGATATAAAGCAACTCACCTGAGGTCACAGAGCTACCAAGCAGCAGAGCAGAGAGTACAGGACTCAACCATGACTTGCTCCAAAAGCCCACACTTTTGATCTCTATGTCTCACTGCCTCACAGAATAACATGCTTCAGTTCCTGACCTATGTTAGAGAATTGTGTCTGGGGTATAATTTATTCATGGTTTCTTCCTCCCTCAAACTCTATGTTAAGGGGATCACCTGTTCTGGGGGCCCCTAAGTAAGATTTAAGAAATCTCTCTGCCACTAGATGTCTGACCAATATGCACTGGCCTTCCCTCTGGATGGCCTTAGACCCTGCCTGATGACATCTTTTGATGACCTGAGGGGGTTTTGCAAAAAGCACAGATTGGAGGCCAATCACATTATCTAGAGTCTCCTAACTGGCTTCCATACAATTCTATACATTACTCAATGTTCACCAAGGTAAGTGTGGTCACCATCTGTCACTATATAACATTATTAAAATGTTATTGACTATATTGCCTATGCTGTGCTTATTCATCCCTGTAACTTACTTATTTTTTTAAGTAGAAGTCTGTACTTAATCCCCTTCACCTATTTTGCCCATCCCTTCAACCCCTTCCTCTCTGGCAACCACCAGTTTCTCCTCTATATTTACAATTCCATTTGTTTGCTTTTTTAAAAAATGCCACATGGCATTTGTCTTTCTCTGACTTATTTCAAAATAACCAAAGCAACCTTGAGAAAAAAGAACAAAGCTGGACGCATAATAATCCAAGATTTCAAGATATACCACAAAGGTATAGCAATCAAAACAGGAAGGTACTGGCACTAAACAGACACATAAATCAACAGAACAGGATAGAGAGCCCAGAAATAAACTCATGCTTATATGGTCAATGAAACTAGGAGAAAGTGGACAGGAATATACAATGGGGAAAACACAGTCTCTTCAACAAATGGTGTTGGGAAAACTGGACAGCTACATGCAAAAGAATGAAACTGGACCACTTTCTTATAACATACACAAAAATAAACTCAAAATGGATTAAAGGCCTAAATGCAAAACCTGAAACTATAAAACTCCTAGAACAAAACATAGGCTGTGATTTTTTGGACATCTGTCTCAGCAGCATTATTCTAGAATGTCCCTAGGTAAGGAAAACAAAAGCAAAAACACACTATTGAGACTATAACATAATAAAAAAAGCTTTTGCACAGCAAAGGAAACCATCAGCAAAACAAAAAGGCAGCTGAGTAAATGAAAGAAGACATCTGCAAATGATACATCTGATAAGGGGTTGATATCCAAAATACATAAAGAAGTTAATACAACTCAACATCAAAAGAACCCAACAAATTCAACTAAAAAAAGGGGGCAGGTGGGGTGCACTGGTGGCTCAGTTGGTTCAGTATCTGACTCTTGATTTCAGCTCAAGTCATCATCCTAGGATTGTGGGATCAAGCCCCACATCACACTCCATGCTGAGTGTGGAGCCTGCTTAAGATCCTCTCTCTCCCCCTCTGCCCCTCTCCCCCACCCTCTCTTTCTCTCTCTCTCAAAAAATAAAAATAAAGAAAGATAGGCACAGGACCTCAGAGGCAAGTTTTTAATCCCACAGGTCATGTTTGACTTTAAGACTCCTCTTCCTCGGTGGTTTCTCTCACTTTTCTCAACAGCCTCTCATCCTCTGAACCAGAAACTTTCTTCTATCTATGTGGCAATCAGGCTTGCCTGCCAGGACTGACACACATACACTTAACAGAATTTGGAAGGGAGGAGAAAGAAAGGGAAAGAATGGCATATTTCTTTTAAAAGGGTTATCTGCAAAAATTGAATCGACATCTTTAGAGTGTACTTTCCAAATGATCACAGGAGTTTTGATAGATAAAAATGAGCCCATAGATGGGGCGCCTGGGTGGCTCAGTCGGTTGAGCGGCCGACTTCAGCTCAGGTCACGATCTCACAGTTTGTGAGTTTGAGCCCCGCGTCGGCGGGCTCTGTGCTGACAGCTCAGAGCCTGGAGCCTGCTTCGGATCCTGTGTCTCCCTCTCTCTCCGCCCCTCCCCTGCTCATGTTCTGTCTCTCTCTGTCTCAAAAATAAATTAAAAAATAAATTAAAAAAAAATGAGCCCATAGATAAGAACCAGCTTATCTATTTTTAAAAAGTAATAGCACACAAACTGTTGTTAGCCATTATGTTAAAAATCCCACTAGTTTGTTTAGGGGCAGGGGAGAGAGGATGGGGAAGAAGCTAGACTCAAAAACCTATTTCCTCATTTAACCAAAACTCTTACTTACCATCACCTACAAAGCCCTAGCAATCTGGCCCTTGGCCACATCTCCAGCCCCACCACCCTCCTTGCTATCCCTTGGCATGCAGAAATCCCCATATCTGAGGATCTTTGCACCCCTATTCCTTCCATCTGGGATACTCTTCCCCCAGATGTTTGCTCCTAACTTCATACTTGTCATGCTCAAATGTCATCCTTTCAGAGACCTAAACATCCATCTCACTTAAAATATCAGCTCCTGTCCCTTCACTTTGTTTTATGTTCTACCCTAGCACTTACCACTGCCTGACATTATACATTTCCATTTACTCATATGCTTACTGTGTGCCACCCTATCACAACGTAAACTCCATGCAAGCAGGGACTTTGTCATTTCTGTGCTCTGCTGCATCCCCTGAGAACACTGGAACTCAGTGAGTAGACCTTAACAAATAAGCAAATTAAATACTCATTATCACTCTGTGACCTAAGTAGTATTATCCCCTTTTAACAGAGGAACTGGGGCTCTAAGAGTTCAGGGCATCTCAGTAAGAGAGATGAAACTGAATCCTTGTTTGTTTAAATAATCAGGCCAGAGTTTTGTTTGCTATGCCATTAAGTTATGCAAAGAAAAAAGTGGCATAATGCTAACAAACCCGACTGCCAGTTTTTACTCTCATAGTAGTCCTCTGAGAGCCTAACAGCTCCCATTACATATCAGGAATAACAAGCTCGTGTTATCCAGTGTGGAACTCAGAGTCAGAGGAAGGTTTTCTGGAACCTAGAAATTACAATTTGGGGAGGGGTCCTATTTAAGAAAAATAATACAAGACCACAGATGCGAAAATAAGCTCAGGGCCTTAAGACAGGCCTCACCAGCGAGAGGCCCTGATGTTTGACCCTAGCTTCTGGGTGTGTCCCTCGTGCACAGGTAAAAGCGTTGGGGCTATCCCGTACCCCGAAGCAGGGATCACAGGTGGTTCCAAAGGTGCTGGCACTGTGGAAAGGCAGGCAGCACCACCCTGGGTTGGTTGTCATCTCTTAAGGAAGCCCCTTTACCTTCCTGCCTCAGTTTCTCCCTTAGAAAGTGGTGTCAATACGCCGGGACAACATTAAAGTCCGTGGCCACGTCTGGGTGGGGGGTGTTTTAAAGGATGCCTAGGGGCTTTGCTGACCTCAAACGTCAGGCACAGTCTGGATCTCTCCCAGAGACTCAGAGGGCCAGTCCGCTTTCTGAGAGGACACACACCGCGCCAGCAGCGGATGCAGTGAAGACCTTCGAGTTCCCAGAGCCCGGCTTTGGTTCAGCTCTGCCAGTAACTAGCTGTGACTTGAGCATATCACAATTTCCACATCTGTCCGCCCTGCTCTCCACCCATCCAAACGCACCCAGGGGAGCCGAGGCTCAGCCATCTACACACCGCTCCTAGTCTACGTAAGGCGTTCCGTTATCGTTTACGGGGTGGGGTCGGTCGTCAGCCCGGGCGTCTCGCAAAGAGGGAGAAAAGGAACACGAGGAAGTGGGGCCCGAAGCTCCAGGGCAGTCTGGAAAGCACGCCGCAGGCCTGCCGCGCGTGGCGGCGGAGGCGGGCAAAGCCGCCTCCAGGCCAGAAGCCGGCGCCCGGCGCGCTCACCTCGCGGCCGTTCACGTAGCCGACCAGCTCCGCCGCGGGGTCCATGCTGGCGGGGTTTGGCCTGGCGGGGCCCGCGGAGGGGCCGCCGGCCCGGCTGCCGGAGCCCACGGGGCAGTCGAACCCAAGGGAGAAAGACCCGGGGAAGACCGAAAGTTCCGTGCGCCTCGCGAGGAAAACTCGCCCGGATACCAGGACGCCACGCGAGCGCTCCGCCCGCTGCGAAATCGGTAGCGGACCCCTCCCCTCCACGCCCGGGCGCTGCGCGACCACGCCCGCCCTCCGCCTCTCAGCAGGTGCTGCAGCTCCTGCGGCGTCTCTTTGCTAGTCCTTCGCTGTTAACACATTTTAAGTGGCGTTCCAGCTAGAAGTGAAGTCCGCAACAGTCGGTTTTCTTGTGCCACTGCTCCCGCTACGCTCCCAGCGCGCCTGGTTCAGTTCTAAAGAAACAATCCCAATGCAGCTTTGCAGGAAAGGAACTTAAGGACAAAACGAAGGTTTTGTAACTTTATCTCAGTTTCGGAAATAATTATTCAAGTTTATTTTCAAAATTAAGAGCTCCCTTGATTTGGGGATAGGCTTTTTTTTTTTTTTTTTTTTTTAAAGCTCTGTCACTCTTCACAGTTTATCTAGTAAGTAACCACAAAGTGTATCTGGTAAATATGAACATCTTGGAAGCTTTTTTTTTTTAAATGCAACTTGGAAAATACCTAAAAGCGTCAACATAAAATCACCTGTAAGCCTATAATTTAGAATTTACCAGTATAATTTTTACAGTTTTGAAATCTGCCTATAACTCCTTTTAAAAACTCAGAACCAAACTAGGTATTTTCCAGACTTGTTTTCATTTCATATACCTGGAACACTTTCCCATGTCATTTTATTTATGTGAACACAAAATTTTCTTAACACTTCCAAAGTTTGTACATAAAAGTGAAGAGTACAACTAGCATCCCCATATAACTCACTGAACTCTAACAATAGAAGAAGGGTTCAACATTTTGCAATATTCACTTTTTGTGGAGTATTTTAAAGCCATTATTTTATCCCTATGTGCTTTAGTATACATTTTTTAAAAAGACATTTTCTTACTCCAATTGCCATTTTTATACCTAACAAATTATTTCCTTAATATCCTCAAATTTCCCAGTGTCTTCTTACACTTGCTTTCTCTGAATCAAACAAGGGCCATTCAGTGTATTTGTTGTCTCTTCAGTTTGTTTTAATCTAGAACAGACTCCTCACCCACTCCCCCACTTTTAAAATGTTAATTTATTTGAGAGAGAGAGAGAGAGAGAGAGAGAGAGAGAGAGAGAGAGAGAGAACACAGGGGAGGGGCAGAGAGAGAGGGAGACAGAGAATCCAAAGTGGGCTCCACACTGTCAGTGCAGAGCCTGATGCAGGGCTCAAACTAACTGCAAGATCGTGACTTGAGCAGATGTCAGAAACTTAACCTACTGAGCCACCCAGGTGCCCTGCCCCACTCCCCCTTTTTAATGTTATTAACATGTCCATCCAGTCAATTGTCCTATAGAATGAACCACACTTTATAATGGCTGATTGCTTCTTTTGGTGTTATTTGTTCTTCCATCCTACTTATTACCTATACTGTGCCTATGGATCTAGAACCTTGATTAAATTCTAGTTCAGTTATGGGGTGGTGGTGAGGGGGAATAAGAATACTTCATAGGTGGTGCCATCCACTTTACACTGCAACATATCAGGAGGCTTAGGATGTTTGGTTGTCTCATTCTTAATGATGCTAAAATTGATCAGTGGGTTCAGTGTGTTCTCTCTTCGTGAATTTCTCCATCAACATCTCACCTCATGGTTTCACCATCCATTGCTGACCACTGTCTGAAGCAGTTATTTTATTAGGAGGTTGCAAACTAGTAATCATCCTAATTCTAACATTCTTCCACATTCTTCAGCTGCAATTCTCTTGAAGAGAAAAACTATCACTCTCCACTATGGCTATTGACTATGCACACACAAAATATATCTTTATTACTTTCTCTTACAAATTTTCAGAGCATCCAATGGTTTTTTTTTTTTGAGTTATCATTATGAATTTGTGACTTTTTGTAGAATGTGTTTTAATCAGTAATAGTCTTTTACTAATGTTCAGTTTGTCCCATCTTAGGGCAATGGAAACACCTTCAAATTCGAACTCGTGTCATTTTGATATGGTCACATTCATTTTTAATAATGTCCTTGTTTTTTGGAACAAGACATCCCAGGCTCACCTTGTTTATATTCTGTCCCAGACTTGGAATCAGCCATTTCTCCAAAGACCCCTAGTTTCTCTGATGGGAAATAGTATTTAGAAACCACAATCTAGATGCTAGAAGTACTCATTGTTAGTCAGTTATCACTGTTTCCAGATATTTTTAGTGGACAGAGCTAGAAAATATATAATTTTTAAAAGAGTGCAAAAAGCATGAGTTCACACTAATATTTCTAATTAAAATTTAAGATTGCAGAGTTTGATTCTGGAACCAAAGATTCTAAACTTCTGAAAGATTCTGAAATCTAATTGTTTTAATCTGTCCTTAGATCTATTTCATAATAGCCACATTGATATTTTAGCAGCAGTGAGACTAGTAAATGAAAGTTTGATTTCATTATAGTTCTTTTTATTCTTAGAGTGTACCCTTAATAAAGATACAAATTCAAAATGCCTTTTGTAAGATTGGGTATCTCTGTCACCAACCTTTTATTTTCATTCATTTCAGTTGGTTTTTGAGTGATGTTACTTAGGTTGTTTCTTTTTTCCATTTTTGTTATTACAAACCATACCATAGTGAAATTTTTGTATTTTTTCAAGAGAATTTTACTGTAGTTTCCTAAAAATGAGACTACTTGGTTGTATAATTGTATATAACTACGTAATTTTGCTGGATATTGTCAAAATCTTTTCTATAAAGTTCGTGTCATTTTGTATTCCCTCCCTCAATGTACCACAGGAACTAGCTGAATAATAAAAGGAAGAGGCTGGAATTATTAGAATCTAGAACCTAGGAGACCGAGAGGGTACTGCTCAGCCACTGTTTAATACCTCAGGAGCTAGGAAAGGTCTTCTAGGAGTAGGAACTCAGATCTCAAAGATGGCTCATGGCACAGGTGGCCAGAATACCTCGAGCCTGAGGGAGTCTCCCTGAGGAGCTAGGCCTGAGGCCTGTGAAGAGTCACAGCCCAAGTAGTGTTGGTACCTCCAAGGTGGTATAATGAGGTTGGTATGCTAAACCAACTGGTGTCAAACAAACTGCTGCCCCCGAATGAATCACCATTGCTGAGGTAATGCTGAGAGGAAAAACAAGCAAATAAGGAGGAAGAAACAAGTCCTTTTTCCTTCTTTCTGATTTTGTTTCTATCACCCCTTTTTGACAGAAGCTAAAGTAAGTCAGCTAGCAAAGAAAAAACGTAATTTGTACAGTTCCAGCATCACTTAGCAAGTTATAAGAGAGGTGGGCTTGGAGGTAAGAGACGACAGCTGGAACATACTAAAAATTGAGTTTTATTCCATGAAAACAAGAATGTTTCAGGATCAACAAATTAGTGAATATAGTTTGTCATATTAATATACCTAAGGAGAATAATCATATACCCATTTTTGTGCTAATTATTAACCTACTATGTTTTAGCTTCAAATCCATGTCTCCAGTTTGTTAAGGCCAGGTCTTTGCAAACCACATTTTTCCTTTGCCAGGCTCCCTTTCAGCCTCTGGCAATAGGAGATAGAAGCAAACTGTTAAGTATGGAGGAGGAAAAAGTTTGCTGCTTCCTGTTTGCTTCTTGTTCCCATCAGTATCATCACAGAAATGGCGCACCCTGGGCAACAACTGACTTCAGAAGCAACAGATGGCCTCAGTCTGCAACTTTTCCACACTATCAGACCAGTGTTGTCATAGTCATTCAGAGAAACAGCACCAACTTGTTGCATACCTTCCCTAGAGTCCTGAAACTCTTCCTTCAAGCCTTTAAGTTTCAATAATTCTATCCTTTTCTCTTTGTTCCCCCAACCCCAAAAGGTACCTCCCCCCTAGTTACTTCCTCTGACACTTCAGTGGTCCCTTTTGCCTTTTCAGTTCTTGTTTAGTTCTCTAGTATAGGGCTAACAATTTATAAAATGATTGTGGTTTCTATCTCTTGGCTGGACCCTAACTCACAATTTCTATCAATTCCAAAAGTCACTTGACAAAAGACTCAACACTCATTTGTGATTTTTAAAGAAAGCACTCAATAAAATAATTGATAAATACTTTAATGTGATTATAAATTATATATAACAAGCTCAAAACCCAGCATCTTACTTAATAGGGTAATATCAGAGGCATTCCCATGAAAATCAGGAAGAAGACAAGGATAATTATTCTCACTACCATTAACATTTTACTTAAGGTGGCAGCCATGCAATTAAACCAAGGAAAGGCATAAGATTTGGAAGGAGAAAAAAAAGAGGTAAAGAGCTTAGTTTTCAGTCTGGAAAATACTATAAACAGTGAGAATTTAGTAATTAACATGCAGAAATCAATAATCAAGGTATATGCAAATAATAATTAGAAGAGAGAGAATCAAAGGGAAGATCCCATTTATATTACCAAGAGAAAGACAAAATAACTAGGCATAAATTTATTAAGAAATATGTAAAAGCTCTAGGAGGGAAATCTCAAAACTCCCCCTAAAGTCTACAGACCACGGTAGCAGGGAATAAACAGACACAAATGAACAGACTATAAGAACAGAAAATTGAGAAATAAATTTAAGTGCACATGAAAATACAACATAAAAAAGAATGGCATTTCAAACCAGTAGTGGAAAACATGGACTTTCTATTTTTTTTTTTTTTTAACATTTATTATTATTGAGAGACAGAGACAGAGCACAAGCGTGGGAGGGGCAGAGAGAGGGGGAGACACAGAATCCCAACCAGGCTTCAGGCTCTGAGCTGTCAGCACAGAACCCGACGTGGGGCTTGAACCCACGAGCAGTGAGATCACAACCTGAGCCGAAGTCGGATGCTGAACCGACTGAGCCACCCAGGTGCTCTGAAAACATGGACCTTCTAATTAATGGAGGAGTCATTTGGAAAAAGGTGGAAACTTCATTCATATCTCATATAACAAGAAAAAATCCCCATGGGTCAGAAATTTGAATGTAAAATCAAAATGAAACTGTGGGTACATGTCTTTATAATCTGGAAGTAGGAGAATTGTTTCTTACTGTGACCAAATTCCACTGCAATAAAAGTCTCATAGAAGGGAGAAAAAATAGAAAGAAACAATAGGAACAAAAATATAAGACTGGAGACTAACTCTAGGAGGTCCAAAGTCTTCAAGTAATAGTACATGAAAGAGAACAAAGACTGCCGGGTGCCAAGCTCTTAAACACTGTGTAAACCGTTCCTTTAATAAGGCCTCCATTCAAACCACATTGTTGATGTTATGAGTAAGTCCTGTAAGATTTTATACTCCTACAGCAATTCCTCAAAGTTTGATCCTAGGACAGTCTGCTCTAGAATTATCTGAAATGTTTGTTAAAAATATAGGTTTCTAAGTCCACCCTTTTAGTTGTCAGATATTATGTAAGCAAGCTTTTCGATCTAGGCAGAATAGAATTTGACTAGTCATTTGAATACACTAAGCTATGTTCACTGATCTTGGATATGAATAGGATTTATTACTTTGTACTACTGGTGTAGTAAGCAATCTTTAAAATAAAGTTATAAGGGGCACCTGGGTGGCTCAGTAAGTTGAGCATCTGACTTTTGATTTCAGCTCAGGTCATGATCCCAGCCAGGGTTGTGGGATTGAGCCCCATGTTGGGCTCTATGCGAGTGTGGAGTCTGCTTAAGATTTTTTTCTCTTTCTCTCTCTCCCCTTCTGTCCCTCTCCCCAGCTCGTGCTGTCTCAGTAAAGTAAAGTAAAGTAAAGTAAAGTAAAGTAAAGTAAAGTAAAGTAAAGTAAAAGTAAAATAAAATTAAATAAAAATAAATGAAAGTTATAAAAACCAAATTTAAAAGAACCTGAAAGGTTAAGCCCCTCAGCCAAGTCATCAGATTACATATAATGGAAATAATTCAGAAATCAACACCTAACAGGTAATTCTGAAAGTATAAGAATGAAGCGTGACAGAAAACTGGCCAGGGCAGAAGGCAACTTTTAAAATCTTCTGTGTGTTCACATGTATTGGATGGTTTAAAAACAAAACAAGATAGCTTGGTAAGCAACAAGATAACCAATGAAAAAATTTTTCACAACACATTTTATTTGGCTAAAAGGTTAACAGCTTTTGCTTAGTTAATGGCTGTTCGGTTGAAAGAGGCTTACACCAACAGGAAGATAAGTTATAGGCTGACCAAAATGATTACAGAAGTTGAACATTACAAAATACTCTATGCACATACATCTAAACATAAGAATGAATAAATTAACACTCATGAAAAGGTGGGGGTAAAAAAAGCTTTCATCATGCATTTCATCTTCTTGATCCTTGTTTTGACTTGTTATGGTTTGAGAATTCAAAAAAAACCCAGATTCCATAAATTCACGTCATCTTCTCATCTTCCTGCAAAGTAGAAAAAAAGGAAGATAAACAATACTAACAACACAAAGCTAATACTTTTGCTGTGAAGCATGGAGAAAAAAATGGCTACATCATATAATTTGGAATACTCTACGATTGTGGGAATTATAAAATAGGGGTTAAGAAAAATTGACTAGCTTAGATTTTACACATTACATACTTTACTATATATTTCTTTTTTATTATTAACTTTGGCATACATAAAAGAGAATATGAAAATGTATAACTTAAAAACAATCAAATAAATGTTGATGTACCTACCACCCAGGTTAAGAACTAAAATGTTACCACACCTCAGAAGCTTCCAGTGTGCCCCTTTCTGATCACATCCCCCGTCGTCCCCCAAGAAGTAACCACTGCCCTGAACTGCGTTTATCTCCTGCTTGTTCTTCTTTAGTTAACTTGTTTTTTTTCAACACCTTTATTCATTTCCAAGTCTCTCCTTCACTGAAACATTAAACAGTCTTATTTTATATTCTGTATCTAATCCTGCTATCAGTTGCTTCTGCTGGCACATTGTTCCCTTGCATGTGTAGGGTTTACTATGAGGTAACTGCTCATTTCCCTCAGAACTTTATCTGTGGAAAATTTGTTGATGACTGAGATGAAGGAGAGCCCTAGAAAATATTTATATTTGCTTCTGACAGACAAAGGGGGCACTACAAGTCATTGACTAATACTAAATCCTCAGCTTGAGGTTTTCTGTGACTTCCAGATACTGTGATTTCCAGCTGCAATGCAGGAGAGTTTGATTTTGGTTACAAATTCTCAGAAGATTTTTTTTCTCCTCAGCTCAGTACCAGAGTTATTTCCTGGGGCTTAAAAAAGCTGGTGGTAAGGTTGTTTTTAGTTTGCTCTCCTACTGAGAGTAGCTTAACTTTATTGAAGGTGATCTACTATTAGACTCTTCATTTTAACTAAACCTGAGGATATGCCTTCTGTCCTCAGCCCCATAAGGCTATGTGAATCCAATACTTAGGTTCACTTAATTAGAGAAATGCCTTTGGGCAAAAGCCAGTTTCAGAGTCCACCTACCTCTCTGGGTTCCTGCTCTCATTTAGTTTCTGATATGAACTTTCTTTTCTTCTAGCTAACAGATTTGTTCAAGGGTTTTGTTTGTTTTGTTTTTTTAATATTTTACCTAGTAATTTTATTTTTAGGTTGACCATGCACCTGGTTGGTCACATTATAAGAAGTAGAGTTGTATTTATTCTTTACATTATATATATGTTTTTTAGATAAGATGTACACGCACGGGGCCAAATTACAAAGTATAAATGGTAGATATAAAGTAGGTCTCTTTCTCTCCTTTGTACTCCTCTCCAGAGCCAATGATACCACTGCCTTGGGTAATTAGATAGATTTAATAATTCTTTCAAAAGAGTTACCTATTCTAAATATAGCAAAATGCTGTAATGAAGTAGTATTCTATTTTAATTTAGATGTACTGGGCATACAGATTATTTGGTTAATGGCTTAGCTGGTAAGTGTTTTAAAAGCAAATATCACAATAAACATTTAGTATAAATACTAAGAATGATGACAACCCAGCTGCCTTTTATTTTCTTTTTGGATTGGGCATGGCATCCAGCAGGTATATATCACAGCTTCTGATAGGCTCCCAGTGAGGACAGATCCTGAATGAAACTGCTTCAATGTATTATGGAGTGACCATCATAAGCATTGAGGACAGGCGAGGCAGAAG